ATCATTTAGTAACATTCCAAAGAATTGTCAGACGCGCGTGTTTCAAAAAAGCAACAAAGTTGCAGTTAAATGTAATAAAGGAACTATAGTAATAAAAACATAACAATCCAACTACGTTAATAGAGCAGTGATAGTTCAAGTTATCATAACAGAACTATAATAAAGCACCATACATTTCTAATCACAGTATCTATTAATAAAGTTTCATTAATAAACCATAGCAATAAATTTTTATACTAAAGTTACGTATTTAAACAAAGCAAAATGGAAATCATAGGGCTAAGTTTTTGAGTATACATAACAATGGAAATGTAACTGTAAAACTAACAGAATTAATTTGCTATAAATATAATCATAACACTAGAGCTGAAACAATAGATCTATAATAGGAGTTTGAATAAAAATGTAACGATTGAACCAGATTAAAAGAGCGGTGATAATCAAATTATAATAATAGAGTTGTAATAATTTCTCTTTTTATAGGTACAAAATTATGATAGGATCCGGATTAAAGCTTTTGCAATGCAACTATAGTAGTATATATACAACTATAACAATAGATTTACAATAATATAGAACTAATCGATTAATAAAACTCCAATAATCAATTTATAGTTCTTAATTTTTATGTATATTCGCCTATAACGCGCACACCCGTGTATTTTTACGAGGAAACCTGAAATGTACGAACGCAATTATCTTACGCTGTGAAGTCATTTTTTCTAGGTATTATTCCAAGCATTAGAAAAAAATAATATACTTCAAGAACTACAGCCCTTTAAATTCATAAAGAATGTCATTTCTTTTAAACAAGCAACATTTCGATCTATGTAGAAGTCTGATTTTCTCAGTGCTCTCACGTCTCTTTATTCTTAAAAACTATCATTTTTATACCCGGCGTATAACGTGCACCCGTAAATTTAATCTTATTTTTTTTTTTTTGTTCAAAGTGCGCGTTATACGCCGGATATTACATAATTACAAAAAATTTAATTCAATTTTTTAAATTAAAGCTATAGACGTAAAACTGTTAGTTAAAGATTTATAAAAAATTATAACAAATAGTAATAATATATTAATGAAGCTGCAACAATCAAATTATAACAATAGGACCATATAAGAACACTATCTTTTTTATACTTACAGAATTACTATGAAGTACAATAACAAAATCTTAGTAATATATTTTAGTTAACTAATTTTAATAATTCAAAATAAAAATAACAGAATAACCTCTTTTTATAAAAAAAAGACATGTAACAATGGAAATAAGCTTTAACAATGGATGAATGTAAAAGAGGTAATAATATTTTACTGTAATAGTAAAAATATATTTGTCATTTCATTCGATCTTTGATATTTTAATTGTCTCATAGATTGCCTCATAGATATCATTAATTGCATCTAGGTTTCTGGGGAATTATTAATGGTTTGTTGCATAATTTTTGTAACTATAAGTTCTGGGTTTGATGAAATTGTTCTTTTCTAAGTAAATCCTTTTATTTCAATTAATTCCATCTTTTAACTAAATTTCGCACCTTCTCTCTCTCTCTCTCGCACTTTTTGAAATGAAGTAGTGTTTTCAAAATTTGCTCTATTCTATTAGTTGGACGCAACATTCCAGAAAACTAGTTAAACCCTACTTCTCAATCCCATGCCTAACTTTGCAATTTGAAAAGCTGGGTATCTATTTTTTATCTAATATTTCATTTTTGGAATATCTTATAATGTCCTACATATATTTTTTAATTTGCTTATTCTTTCAGGTTTGAGTTTTCCATTTACTAAATATGGCCAGGATAACCGATGGATCATTGTTGAAAACTCGTATTCAGAATTGTCTCTGACGAATCCTGGCCTCTTTGTAGGGAGGGTAATGTACGTTAAATCTATCGAGGCTCACAGATTCCTCACGTTGGTGAGGTGGGGAAGTTTAGAGATAGGAGTGCCAGCTCAAATGTCATCCTCTTCACTTGATACGTGGTTCGTAATTATTTACTCCGTCGCCTATAGCCTTTACGTTGCTTTAAATGAGTGTTTATTAACACCGCACTATAAATCAACACGAGGGCTGACCTCGTAACTTTAACCTATGATCAAGTGAAGAGGATAGCACCTGATCTGGCACCCACTCTCCGAACTTCCCTACCACGCCAGCGGGACAATTTTAAGCAGACAGATTTGAAGTGCATCAGATCCTCTATAGAGCAGTTTTTCAGTGGTACTAGGCTCGAACTCATGACTCGCCGGGAACGAGTCTGTGACCATGACTATGACCGCGGCCACTATGTTGCTTAAAAGCGCGACGTTAATAATTAGTCTATCAATTTACTAATACTGCTTTTTACCGTAACATAATCTGTATAAGAACCAGTGCATGTTTATCTATTGCGCGCGCTTGGGGTGGGCGCCAAGGGGTCAGGGGCCTAGAAGGATAACCTTATTCGGATAACCTTGACTTATCCGAATGCAAGAGCCACTTCTTGGATCCGACCGTGCAAAGGAAGCCCGTAGATCTTCTGCGCCCATCGCCCGAAATGAGCTTAAGCCGGCCCTTGTAAGAGCCGTTACAAAAATTAAGGATTTAACTTTATTATATATTTATTCTATTATGCAAAATGTCCTTCATCCCTTAAAGAGTCATACATTTACGAAAAATTGGTTCGTCAAAAGTTAATCTAATGTTAAAACAATCATTGTATTCAGACATTTGTAGTATTCTGTACAACGCTAGACGAAAACTCACTATTTGTAGCTGATCAATAAAGTAGCTACATCACACGGCATTTACAATAATCATAAGATGAACTGCATTGTGTATAACATTTATAATATTGGCGCCATAAACCGCGTCGCTTTAGTGCATGCATTAGAATTAGGTGATAATTATTGTCATTTCAGAGGATATAGTAGAATAGCTAATCCATGTCCCCGTGTAGCAGAATTCAGGAACAAGTTAGATCCTCTTGCTAACTCCTTCGTTCAGGTATTCAGAAACTCATTATCTAATTAAATGTTAGCCACTTTGGAAAATTATTTTCAAACAGACTATATAACCAATACTCTTATTTAAATTTAATTAAACTATTTTTCCTCGTTTGTTAAAGTCACACCAAGAAGCAACCCAAAGGCTTATGGAGACAGACCTACAAACTACGGTCAAGTGACGAGGACGACACCTGAGCTGATACCCCACTCTTCAAACTTCCACACCAAGGCAACACGATGACTTTGAACTACGATAGATTTAACATGCATTAGTTCCTCTACACGATGAGTCTTTAGTGGAACCAGAATTTGAAATAAGACGAATGCGTGACCACGATTACCGAGTGATCATGATCCTGAAATCGTGGTTGGCTTTATTGCTGCCGACTCATGGGATTTAAATCTTGGCGCCTTGAAAGACCCATCCTGTAGAACGAATAGTGCAAATTAATCGTTTGAGGTTCAAAGTCCTTACATTGCTACGGTGTGAAAGTTTGGAAAGCAGCTCAGGTGTCGTTCTCGTCACTTCACCCTAATTCAAAGGTAGGAGATTTGCCAATAATTGCTCTCGGGTAGTTTCCAAGGGCATTGTAAAAATTCAGGCAACAAATGAGAATCAAAACAATAAACTTGATTTCTGCCAGACAATTAATTTGCTATTTTAATAACATAATATACAGGAAACAATTCTGATTTCTTTTTAAACATTTTTAGAGGATAATTTTTTTATATAATTACATCATTCAAAGCAGTGGCGCACACAAGGGGGGGGGTCCAGTGGGTCCAGACCCCCCCAAAGCCCTTGATTTTTTTTCCGATTGATTATAATTCCAAGTATATAGTAAGTAAAATTTAATTAAGTGTTTGTTATTAATGATTAATTGTATTAATTAATGCTAATTATTTATTCAATAATTCGTTTTTTACTGTGTTATGTTCCCAAAAATCGACAAAATCAAAAGGAGCATGATACAAGAATGGAGAACTTTCGACCCCAGACCCCCTCTCCCTTGAAAAATTCCTGTGTGCGCCACTGATTCAAAGTCTTGTTCTTTAGAAAAAAAAACATTTTAGACATCCCTGAAAATTCACGAAAAAAAATCACTTTTATCTCATAATTTTGAAGTTATGTTTCGCTTAATATTAGAATGTTTTTAATTATACTTCAAATCACTTATACGTTATTTTAAGATAATCCAATTTTCCTTATCGAAATCGATTAAAAGTAACATATTACTTAATTGTTGTTCCACTGTACTCTCTGTAAATGGGTTTCACTGCTTGCTGTTATGTCTAAAGGCAAAGCATTCTTACTATGTTGCTATTCAAAACATTCTTTCTGCTCTCATATACACATTTATCGTTGAAAAACATTTAAAAATACGCCTTCGCAATTTTCCTTTGAAAATTTTAATTTTACAATCGCATTACCTTCCTCGTCTCCAATGATACAGTTAAATAAATAAAAAGTAATTTTAAAAAAAATGTTCAACTCAACTCCTACTTAGGTCAACAAAGAAATATTCTATTTTAGTTCCTTTTTATTAAATAATTATAACCAGTAGCGCACACAGGAATTTTTCAAGGGGAGGGTCTGGGGTCAAAAGTTCACCATTCTTGTATCCTGCTCCTTTTGATTTTGTCGATTTTCGGGAACAAAACACAATAAAAAACTAATTTTTGAATAAATAATTAGCATTAATTAATAACAAGTAATTAATTAAATTTTACGTACTATATACTTAGAATTATAATCAATCGGAAAAAAATCAAGGGCTTTAGGGGGGTCCGGACCCCCAGCCCCCCCCCTTCTGTGCGCCACTGATTATAACTAATATAAATACGTATATACATGACAGAATCACAATATTAAGTGGCAAAATAGAAAGCGATTTTCCTTTCTATATAAGGTGGACTAATATTTTTGTTTGTTACTATTTATTCATTAATTAAATTTAATTATTCCAGCAAGATAATATAGTAAAAATAAATCACATTCTCAGAAATTAGGCCATCCCAGGTGGGATTCGAACCCACAACCTTTGGATTAGAAGTCCAATACGCGTACGCTATCCATTGCGCTATAGGGACGCAACGAACGATTTTACTTTTTACTTTGGTGTTGGACTATTATTTTCGTTTGTTACTATTTATTCGTTTTTTTTATTTAATTAATGAATTTATATTTGAAAAAACTGTATTAACATCACAAGTGTTTTCCACTACAAGCTTAAAATTGGATTTGAACTTGAGTGTACACACACACACATATATAGGGAGAAAGTGAACTAATAGTAGGAATTGAAAGAAGTAGCAAAATTTCTTCTTTTTAGAATTTGAAGTGATCGTGTTAAATCAAAATCGTGTAAAAACAGAATCGCGTGTATGTCATCTTGAGAGAGACTTTCCTGTAACTTTGCATCGAAATAGCGATTTAAAAAAAATAGCCATTTCAGAGAAAATAAGGTAACACTAAACTTTTTCTGGAAACCATGTATTTATTTAATAAGAATTCCAACCCTTAATAATCGTTTATCTTTCGATGTAAATCTGCAAAAGGAGGACTGGGGGTTGACAAAAAAGTAATGCAAATGTCAAATTTGCACTTACCTGTGCCAAAGTTCTTCAAAGTGAAGGAAATCTTTTCGGTAATCTCTGGTCAGAACTGTGTGTGAAAAGCCAATTCAACACTAGTTAAGTGATTTCGGCGGGGCTCTAGCAAAACCATCCTGTTGGAGATCCCGTGTGCAATAAAACACTTTCCCCTCTCTAAAGGGGGGCGTTTTAAAAAGAGAAAGAGAGATGAAATATTTCTCCTTTTCAGTCTTGATGGATGGCCGTGTTGTTGTCCGTTAACCAACTGATGGGCGATTTATCAACCATTGAAGGGTTTGTTGCTGGCGATTGTCTATGTTTTTGTATCCAGTGGGGGTTCTGGGTGGTTGAAAACATTTTTTCTTACGAAAATTGTTTCGATGGAAATTAAAATATAAAGTTAATTTTCTGAGAGGATTGTTACTTAGTACACGTTCTATGATAACTTACAAATGTCTTCTTCTAATGGAAATATATAAGTTAGCAACTCTTATTTAGCCTTTGGGAAAATTTATTCCAGTGGTTTTCAAGTTTTTTCGATTTACAGAAACTATTAGGTATTTTGGAGGAACTTCATTCTCCACTATGCACACACACTTAGCAAAAATTATAATATCTTAAAATAATATTTAAAATAGATCAACCTATTATAGGTACTTATGTAAAGACTAAAAAAGAAAAAGGTATATTTCTTATTAAAAAAATTTTTTAACCCTTTTTTTACCGACGGTACTTATAAGTACCACTCAATTCAAAATTACTAAGAATAAACATTTTCAATAATATTCTAACTATAGTTAGCAGAAATATTCTTTGAAATCCACTCTTCCAAGATATATGGCGGCATGGATTCTATGATGAGTATTTTAGACGAGAAGGCGAATAGTTTTATAGCAGAAATTGCGTTTTCAGCGGATTGCGAAGATTATCTATCCTTTTTGTCCGGAAGAAAAGTTAATGTCAAAATTTAAGTGCCTTTTTTTTTTGTATGTTAATGAAAATCTTAGAAAAAGATTTAACTATTTATTTTAAGTGAACAGTGTATATGATTAATTTTACAGTTGAATATTTTTAATTTATTAGTTAGCTCTAACGGATTAAATTTCTTCAAGTTGATTATTTTGTTTATGTATATCCCTTAATTTTCAATTTAGTGATCCAAAAAAAATATATTGCATGAAAAAAACTGCAGTAAATCATAATGCGGTAGATAAAGGGTTAATGTAGTTTGAATTTAATTTACTCATTAATATTATTAATTTGTGATCCAAATGTCATCTACCCATACATTATGTATAGTAAATGGGTTATGTGCTTGCTTTTTTTTACACCAACTGTCTAGTTCTATTGAAATTATCTCCAGTCGCATTTTATATTCTGCGTTTAATTTGTTTTTATATTTTAATTTTGTAACCAATGACGTCGAGAAATAATTTTCCTTTAAATGATATGTTCTGATTAGCATAAAAAAATGTTTATAGCTGCGTGAGAAATCCTGTATCCTTTTGTAACGTCGTGTGTAGCTATCCATCAATAATTAAAGATTACAGGCTAATATACAAATAAAAGCAAACTTTATTTGCTAACAATTTGTTAATGAAGTAATATAAATTCAGATTATATGCCAAGCCGGTGTAGTCAGTTCATGTTCCCATTTTCAACGCCACCGGCGTTCATCGTCTTTTTCACTCCAATCCCGGACTCCTTCCGTCCGTTCTCTCTTCTCCCCGACTCTCTTTCTTCTCTTTTTCCGTCCGTTCTCCCCTCCTTCTCCTTCCGTCCGTTCTCTCCCGACTTTTCTTGTCCTTTCTTCTCTCCTGAAAAAGAACCCTTTTAAACACCAGGGGTGTGTTCACAACACGCCCCTCGTTCCTTCTTATTGGCAGGTCACAAAAGTCCTCTCTTGACCTCCCTCGTCCTATTTGCGCATAACACGGCAAAACACACCCGAGCCGTCTGGCCCAAGGCGCCATAGTTCCTTATCGAACATCTGGACACACTTATCCATCACGCCACCTGTTCCTAGTATTCCCTTCACACAACACTAGAAAAGACGACATGATTATTTTAAGATAGGCTTCGCCTATTGTCAATGGTGCGCTGGCTCTACTTTACTATTATGGTGACCCGTCTGTCTCTCTTCACTCCCTGAGTTCAGACAATAAACAATGGCCCCATGGCCACGTGCACTGGTCATTCCACAGCTGGTGGATCATAAAAATGCAGGGACAATCGATGACGTCGTACTTGTCCTTGACCAGCTGGTGAAACCATAAAACCTATTGTGAATCGAAAGATGGGAATTCACAACCATCGACGATGTCACACTTTGCATGAATTTGCAACCTAAAATTTAGGAATTGTTTTTGCTGAAAAGATTTTAACATCGAATCTGTTGATATGTCCATAAGTTGTTCCCTCTTTTTTACTATTATATTTCCCACAAATATAAAAAGGTGCATTTTGCCCCCATTACAAAACTATTTAGTTCTGCAAAGCATTATACTAACGAGTGCGGAATTATTTCGTGTAACCCGGGATCGCAAACAATAGAATATTCACAATAAAGTACGCCAGCATTTCTCAAACATGGGGTGCACCCCCAAGGGGGTCGGGAAAACTCTACGAGGGGGCGCGAGTATATTAAAAAGTCAAAAACAAAATATTATTTTAAAAAGTTATTAATTTACTAAAAGTGTAAACAAACGAAATACATTCCGACATAACAAAATACGATTTCACACTGATATAATGCACTTTTAGATGTATCAGTACTGCACAATGTATTTTATAATTAACAGTACTAATTTAAGAACAAGTTTAATAATTACCAGTGACCCCATGGACTTGTCACAAAAATTAACATTTTTCTTGATTGTTTGTGCGGTTTAAAATTAATCCCTTAACTGTTAATCCCCTTAAAAGTTATGTGATTCTCCCCACAATGCCTCCATTTTCCACATAGGCACGCATCTGAGATGGGGGTTTGGGGGGGAGGAATAAATAGGCAAATATTCTGAAATGAGTAAATCCTTTGCAAACACTATCAAGTTTCTTTTATTGCATTCCAAAGCCTTCGAAATTATTTTATGAATAGCAGTGCACAGAAAAGATCGTACTTCGGAAAAAACGTATATATACGTCCGGGGCAGTTAACGCTTTGGCTGTTCAAAGCGTTTATATACTCCGGAAGTACTCAAGAGGTTTAAGTCGTATTGTAGCTTTAGCTTCAAAGTATAGTGTTATTGAATTCAATACATTATTATTGTTTGGAGGGGGGTGAAAATTATGATTGAATATTGGGTCGCAAACATTGTAAGTTTGAAGCACTGCAGTACGTAGTACATGTGAATAAAAAAACATTTTAATATTGTTTTGTTATATTACAGTAAAGATTTAAAAAGAATTATAAAATAAAATTATGTATAAACAAAATTTCAGTTTTAATGACTGAAATGAGCTTTAGATACTTGAAGATAAACAAATTTCATAGAGAACGTGAATCTATTTTTCTTTCTCATTTTCATTTTTATTCTTGGGACCTCAAAGTTCCGTGGAACACAGTTTGAAGCCCACTGATTAATTCGAAAAGAGCATGCTTTAATAAGTAAAAAGTATAAAGGAAAACTTACAGCACCAATGCACATACATAAAAATAAGTATCAAGACGAAAGAATATACATCTGCAGTGGTAATCTAAACATCTAGGTTGTACGTATTCAAAGATTTCATTGTTAAACTTTTTGACGAGCTCTTATGAAAAATAAGTTATGAAGTACAGGAAAAAAAGAATTTTTTTAATATAATAGAACTCGAAATATTAAGTTAAGTCAAATTAAAAATTTATTCCATCAAAATTTGACCAGGAATATCGAGTTTATCTTGAACTTAACAAATTTTATAATATTAGTCTGGAATGGGATTTGTTATGTAAAGTAAATCCTGAACCTGTTTAACTATCTAAACAAATGCCATTTTAATAATTGAAATAAAAGTTATTTTATCGAATTCAGATACACAAATCTTAATATTGTTGAAATTGAAACAATATGTAAATCGATTGCGTGCTCAGGAGTATTGGGGAGGAGACATGAGTCTGATATACTATTGAATTAAAAACCTTGTTTAAAGTGTTGATATTTCCAACTTCCCAAAGAAAAATTCCTCTGACACTATTGATTTGTACTAGTGGAAAAGTACAGATATTTTTATGTAAGACTATAATTAACTGATAATATTCAAGTTAAAGAAAACTATAACTATTCTCGCATTGTACCGTTCTAGTTAAAAAATTGTGGTTAAGCTTCAAATTTAAAGTACAAAGAAATAGAGATTGCTGAATATATACATATATAAGTGTGCGTGTTCAAGTGTATTAAAATGCACATTCTCCAAAAATGCATTTAATTAAAAGTAGACCATGAAGCAGACATCATTTTCAATATATATATATATTTATTATTATTATCAATATTTCATTAGGAACTTTAAAAATA